TTTAATCACACTCTCTCTCTCTCACGCACACACACACACTTCTCCGCCTCATTCTGTTTTCATTTACTTGTTCGTTATCTGACCAGCTTCAATCTTGTAGGCTTCTCACCTCGTTTCTTGTAGCCCTCGAAAGGGTTTTGGAGGTCGATGCCTCGGTGAACGTGAGTTGTTTGGCTTTCTTGTCAGCAGCAGCAGAAAGCATTTTCGAATGTTTTAATGAATCAAAGTGGGTCGTCACCGTCGATGTTCTCTTATGCTCCAACACACAGTTGCACGGGGTGCAGAATAGTTTCCCCCCACTTTCGTGCAAGACATCGGGGAACTGCTTTGCCCGGTCTTTAGCAGAAATGTTCGTCGATAAATGAGATGGATTCGATTTTTTCATCTTGGTGTTTTCTCTCGCGTGTGAGCGAGAGAAAACACTTCACGTCAAGACGAGTTAACTTTTTTCCCCCTCAACTTTGTGTGGAAAAATGCGGGGATTATGCGGCCTTTTGATAAATATGCGGCCTTTTAAAAATCTGCGCCATTTTGCTGATTATGCGGTAAATTCTGCGATCGCAGAATCGCGTTTTTCTGGAGGGTCTAATATATGAATATACACACTGTATGCATTTCCTTTAAAGTGGCCCTATTATTATTATGCAAATGTTACGGTTCTTCTCTCAATGTTGTTCCTCTACTGTTTCCATGCTTTATTATTCAAAAAGGTCTTTATTTTTCTAATGTTACTTTGAAATACTTACATAACACATAATGAATTTATAAAATATCATCTTTGGAACTTTAAAACTCTGTAGGGTACATTCTGCATAATGAATACTTTTGCTTTTGATACTGTTATTACCTTTAGCTGACAATACTTAAAGAGCCTGTGACAGGGTCGGCGTCATGGGGGGTCATTCGCGGGCCATGCCCCCCCAAATGAGTCACTGTGCCCCCCCAACGCAGGGTGGGCAAGCCTAGCCACTTTGCCGTTTTAAAAAAAAAATCATATAAGTGAAAACGTTTCCACTAAAGGTTTTTTGTGTGAAATACGTCAGAAATAAAGAATACAAATATAAAACACAGCCTGAGCTGTGCTCACTGCTGCTCTCTGATTGGTGTGTTGCTTGACCAATGACCCCCGACCTTTGTTTTGTTATCATTACGTGGCTGAGTGTTTAGATGAAAGCCCAGTGGCGATCTGTTCATCTGTTACACTGATTAGTGATTATACAGTAAAGACATCGAAAATAATATGATATACATATACAGTACAGTACAAGTATCCTATTTCTGGGTCTCTGTGTTTCATTCAAGCTCGGCTCTGTGTGTGTGTGGCACGAGCGCATTTTGTGAGTGCGCGAGCGGTAACGTGGAATGTTGATGTTAGCATCTGGTTAGCTCGCTATGCTAACGGATATAAAGAGCCAGGGTCGGCGTCATGGGGGGTCATTCGCGGGCCATGCCCCCCCAAATGAGTTACTGTGCCCCCCCAAAGCAGGGTGGGCAAGCCTTGCCACTTTGCCGTTTTTTTTTCTAAATCATATAAGTGAAAACGTTTCCACTAAATATTTTTTGTGTGAAATACGTCAGAAATAAAGAATACAAATATAAAACACAGCCTGAGCTGTGCTCACTGCTGCTCTCTGATTGGTGTGTTGCTTGACCAATGACCCCCGACCTTTGTTTTGTTATTATTACGTGGCTGTGTGTTTAGATGAAAGCCCAGTGGCGATCTGTTCATCTGTTAAACTGATTATACAGTAAAGCCATCGAAAATAATATGATATACAGAGTACAGTACAAGTACCCTACTTCTGGGTCTCTGTGTTTCATTCAAGCTCGGCTCTGTGTGTGTGTGTGTGTGTGGCACAAGCGCATTTTGTGTGTGCGCAAGCGGTAACGTGGAATGTTGATGTTAGCATCTGGTTAGCTAGCTATGCTAACGGATATAAAGAGCTGTTTCTACACCAAGGTGGAGGAGAGTCCTCTCCTGTCAGACTGAGAGGATCTTATAACGTCAGCTCAGTGTGGTAAGGACTCTCTCAGTGTTTAGATAGTTCACTTTAGTGTAGGTTATCTCAGTGGGTCTCAAACGGTTTGCTCACCATTTATGTAAACACGTATTTGCGAGGAATACCTTTATATGATCATTATAGTTATTAAAGAATAAGAGAATAAATAAAAACGGGTATGAAATACTATAGGACAGTAACACAAGAATACAGTTTACAAGGGGAGTGATTAGTAAAATATCCATAAAGAAAAAGTAAATCTGTGTACAGTTCTGTTTCATATGGATGCTGAGAGATGTAGGCTATCCATATATCTCCTAATGTTGCTCTCAAAGTGCACCAGATTGATGCATTTAACTTTAATATTTTTTAAATAATCTTCCCGGGGGAGCATGCCCCGGACCCTCCTAGAGGAGGTTCGGTCCACCCCCACCTAAAACATGTTCACATGGATAGGATACTAAATACATTTGCACCCTTTTTATATTGTGGCCTATGTCCATATGTTTCTGTTTTGGTGGTCGTGCCACAACCGTGCATGTATGCACAAGTCATAGGTGCGCTATACAATAGCACTACAATGTGTGTGAAAGACAATAGACTTTACAGCATGTTTTTTGAAGTTGCGTTGGTGTTTGTGTGTTGGTTGTTGACGGCAGTGTGTGCCCCCCCTTTGTAAATGATTGCCCCTCCATTCGATTTGTTCTAGAGCCGACCCTGGCCTGTGACACGAGTTTCCCCCATCATCCAAACCCATCAATTTGAGTAAATATTGTCCCCTTGAAAACCGTTACTGAACTGATTTTGGATATTTGTACTTTGATAACCATTAATCTGCCCTTCAATGTTGACCATTTCCTGGATCTGCTCGGGGATTCTTCAAGTCCCGCCAAATTACGTGTGACGTCATTGCGGGCACAGCGCTCCAGCTGCACCGTTCAGGATCCCAGCATCTGCATGTAAAGGCACGATGGCGCACACAGCAGCAAGCTCAGACAGCTCAGACAGTTTAATTTTGAACGTGTCTGAGAGCTCATATGAGGCTGAAGGATCGGTTTATGTTGTATCTGTTAGAAGTTTAGGAATTAGGTGCGTCAATATGGGCGATCATACGGTCATGTAGCCAGTGGTGGACTGGGACTAAAAATCATCCCGGGACTCTCGACCGGCCCACTTCGGTACCGCTAGTAAATTGTCAACGGGGGGAGTGGGGGATGTGCTAGTGACTTATGATGTCAGGGGCGGCGGGTGCTGTAGATAGTAAATGTAAATATGTAAATATTTGTGTCACTGCATCCTGGTAAAATACAAATATAATGCAATGTCTGTGTCTTTGACATTAGCGCTGCCAGCCACCTGTGCCCTGTACTACGAAGCCAGTTCAACAGACCCTGGATATGTTTGAGTAACAAACAAACTAACAACAACAAACTAACAAACGAGATCTCGCTAAGCGGTCCTACGACGCTGGTTATCAACTCGGTCAATCAAGCCAGGGTTTCTCTCACCAGCTGAGAGCGCGTTCACGTCTAAGACACGAGTGGATCTGACTTTAATTACATTTGACTGTGTTTCGTCAACATAATGTGTTGCTAAAAATAATACTTCTGCATACAGTATGTGACACTGTAAGTGTTGCACGGCCAGATACGGCAGATAAGGAAATATATGATATATTATGATATTATATGATCGATGATCTGATTGATGATGTAATATGAATGATAAGTGCGACACGTCGGCGTCTTCTCTGCATAGGCCTACGGCAGTTTAAACTGTATTTCCTTTATCCTGTAATAGGACTTGAGAGATTTAAACTCCACACACTGAGTTGATCTCTTTTCTATAGACGCTGGAGGCGGGCAGCGTCAGGTAAAAAAAGTTATTTAGCCTTCCCAAACCTGAGCCTCACGCGCCGCCTATGGGGGATGTGCTAGTGATTTATCCGACCGGCCCACTTCGGTACCGGCCCATCGGGATTGGTCCCGATGGCCAGTCCGCGACTGCACCCAGCCCACGTAAACTGTCAACGGGGGGAGCCTCGCTGCGGGGAAACGGTGGACCTAGTGTCCCGATCGGAGTGGGAATAATAATAATAATCCGTGCATTTTATCCATTAATTTCCCAACATTGTGGTGAAAAAAAAACACACGTTTGTGTTGGTGTACTACAACTACAAAAAGCATCGGTTTGTTTTCTCATCAGGAAATGCAGACCGGCACAAACAAACGATTTGTAATCATCATTCTCACGATCATTTAATCTATCATATGTTCGCCGAATTGACATGAAAGCACTAATTGATGTAGTTTCATCCACTTGAGTTTACAACTACAAAAATAATCGATTTGTTTTTATATCACATCCTACGGGAGGAAATTCAGCATCTCTCACTACCGATTTTTAATCCTAATGTAATCATCATCTTCACCACGAGAATTTATGTTTATGTTCACCGAATTGACATGAAAGCACTGACAAATATGAATATACTGTAGTCAACTTCATTAAAACGTTATTAACGTGCCTAAACTCAGTAATTCACCATTTCTACGCATGACAACACACTTTGTCCGTGTTTGGCTCTTTCGTCGCACAGTGAAGCGTTTCCGCATTGACGTCACTTCCGGCTTCCCCCAAAACTTCAAAATGAGTCGAAGGAATTTCCCCGCGATGTTCGAAATTATTGATATTTAACGGAACGGTATCGCTTTTTCTTTTTTAAACTGACGGTTCGAGATTACTAGTAGCCCAATATTTCATTGCACAACAGTTGTTGGGATGCTGTCACAGGCTCTTTAAATCAAGGGTATTTCCCCAGATAATTATTTCTACTTTCCAGTACTCTGCAACTCCATGATATAAAAGGAAGTCTTTAATGAAAAACACTCATTTCAAATTGTGTGAACCAGCGTGCTTTTTATAATAAGGTCATACATCAATTATATAAATAAACAGAGGAAGTCAAACACACTGCAGTAAATGATGACGCCTCAGGGGTCAATGTCGGAGTGGTTTATTAGAATAAGAAAGTTGACATAGAGCAAAGTCTCCATGCGGAGTGACAGGCAGAGCTCGGGACAATGTGGATGGTGAACAACTGCTGGAGTGTATTTGCGTGTGTGTGCATGGAGTGTGTATATGTGTGTGTACTGGGCAGTTGTCGGAGGGTGCATGCACGTGTTGCTTTTTGCGTGACGACAGACAGATTTCTTCGCGGACACAAGCACACACACACACACTTGCATGTACTGTACAAATTCACACGTCGCTACTTCTGTACACACACAGAGGCTGTGTCGTCATGCAGCTACTGCACTTAAATTACATGTAAGCATCAAGGTTATGTACACAAAGTAGGGACATGTGTTGTCTTCTGATGGCCGCCTGCCCTGAGGGCCCCAGGGCGACTTTGGGCCGACGTCGTTCACAGTAGCAGGAGAATCCACTCGGCAAGAAAGAAGCAGAATCTCTTTTTGAAGCTCAGTCTGTTTGAGTTCATTCACTCCTCCTCTTCCTCTCAGTTTCCCTTCAGATTCAGCATCCAAACAGGACACACAACACCTCAGTGCTGCTCACAGTTCATTGTCACTGTCAATATAATTAATAATAATAATCATGATAGTCTTCAGGTTCGTCTTCATTTTCATCATCAAATCCGGCACACCAGAGAAGTTGAAATCATATACAATAATATTCCATATCATCTCAAACCAAATATCTACCACAGAAACAAACTATATAAAAAACAAACATGACAAAAATGATCAGTGCTGACTAAATACATCTAAAACTTTACAAAAATGCAAACGTTGATTTTGTTTTCGCCTTGTTTTTGTGCTTTCCCCCCCCTCTTATATGTTGGCTCGAAGGGGGCCATTTCATGTCACTTCTCCCAACAGCGATGATGGATTTCACACAAGTTAGACTTAGTTTCTTGGACGTAGAGCATTTACAGCACAGCGGAGCGCTGTAGGACAAGATGGCAGTTATTGGCTTGGGGGGGGGGGGGGCATCGCATCACTGGACCACACGGCACTAACAACCCCAACACACAAAGGCATGGTCTCTTTAACAAGCATACAGACACAACCTGATAAATAACAACACACACAGACAGACTGGGCCGTGAGGGCTGGGTGGGAATTTTATGTGTGTGTGATATGTGCAGGGCAGAGATAAGGAAGGACAATGCATGTGTGTGTGTGAAGGACTACAGGCAATATGTGCTGCATTGAACAAAACCCCCCCCTCCAAGCACAATAATTTCGAAGCAAGTGAAAGCAATTTGCCACATGAGAGGCTTTGAAAATGTATTAAAAAAAAAAGGTAACAAATAAAACGGGATTTGGGAATTACTGCGATTTCTGTTTCCGTCACCGACTCATTAAATCAACAAGCTAACCTTTAATGGTGACAAACAGGATGAGAGCGCAGCCCGGGCTCAGATTAGGACGAGATATGTGTGTACAGAGAGATAGTGTGAGTCTGTTAACAATACAAAAAGGGGCTTTAAAGAAGAAGAGAAAGTGCAGCTGTTCAAAAAGGAGGAAAGGGAATGACATGAAGTATGAGAGAAATAGGGAGGATGACGGCTTCGATAAACAGACTGACTTTAGTGAGGCTACACCTGCATTCTTTAGCTGCCCTGTAATGTTGAACACATGTAATCAAATTAGGAAGATACCATCATGAGCTTTCCTAGAGTGAGTCAGCCTATTTCAAGCTTAAGCTCTGTTTCTGATCTTAATTCGATTGCTTTTTTAATTAGGTTAAAGCACCAACAGTACTTGTGTGTATGAGCATGTGTGTGTGTGTGGCGGGTGTATAGTATAAAAAGGGGTAAAGAGCTGGTTGAACGTGCACCTCCCTCCCAGGGCTGATGTGTCTGTAATAATCTTCTCAAGGGCTCATCAGGCCATTAGAGGGCCGGGAATGTACTTTGCCTAATCAAGCATGTTTAGTGAAACACCGGAGGAGATGCAGAGCGAGGACACGGCTGACTGGGCGAGCCGGCCGAGACTGAGAGACCTCATTCACACACACATCACACACACGCAGCACTCAGGTCACAGCGGAGATGGAGACGGAGAGAGATAAAGAGAGGCAGAGATGAGGGGTCGGGCTGGTGGATGAGGGCGACGTATCCTCAATACTAATGACCTGTTTCAGGGTGGAATGCGTAAAGAATACACTGTACTAATGTGTGGAGACAGTAATGCAGTAACATCATGTTCGCCCGCCTGACCTCCTCCTCTGTCCTTGCTTTCATAAATCTCTTTCACTGGCTTGTCTCATGCAGCACCTCCAGCTCTGGCTGCTTAATCTTCAGGGCTGGCTGCTGAACCTCAATGCTGTTCAGGTACTAACAGAAATGAGACTGTGGCAATGAGTGTCGAAAGAACTGTCAGCTGGTATTGAATACTTGGTCTGATTTACAATCTTGTTTACTTTTTTTCATGAAGGAACAGGCCTTGATTTAAATTGGAATTGTGGACGAATGCAGACAATTTACTTCTTAGATAAAGTTTTAGTGAGACTGCTTACTCGGGATTTGTAGTAAAATGGGAAATAGGATTTCTTTGAAAAACAGGTTTCTTAAAGTAAGGTAAACATAACAATGTTGTCTGCTATTGAAATGGCATTTCTGAAATGTTTCAACCAATACATAGCCTTTGTATTACACCTGATACATTAAACCTCAAATAACTTATTTGTTGACCACTTGGGGGCAGCAGAAACAAGCTGTGAAGACAACACTGACATATTATCAGGCTTTAAAAGGCGAATAGCTTGGTTTTTGGTCTCTACCAACTCTTACGGGAAATCTAAGGCTCTTTATCTGATAAATACTTCACTGTGTTCACTAGCAAGAGTGTCTGTCTTCAATTTGGTGCTAGGCAGGAAGTGTATAGTAGATTTTTTTTACATTATTGCTGAGCGTTATGCTCCTAAAATACAAGATCATAAGCTTTAAGATGATATAAAGCTCCATTAGGAATCTTTAAATGTTAAATAGGGTTATGTGGAAAACATGTATACAGTCACAAAAGCTGAAAGGCATCAAAAGAAAATCAAACGATGCTCTGCCCTAGTTCTTGTAGGCTGTGATATTTTCTTGTGTGTGTGCTGGGTATTTATCCAAGCACATCCCGGCTTATCCTTTTGAGCCATAGTTTTTTATATAAAGTATAATGGTTTACATATATCCTATAGCATACAGTACTCCCACGGAGGCCTCAACAATGTTAGCGCGGATTTGTAAATGTCAAGCAAAGGGTTTCTGCCTAACATTAATGGCTCAATAAGAGAAAAAAACTGTAAGAACAAAGAAGAAAGGTGAAATGAGAGTAAAACTGATAAAAGCTGTTATCTGCACTCAATATGAGTAACGCATTCATAGACACAAACCCAAAGAGACTCACACACACCAGCCGGCAGACAAAGAAAAAAACACCACCTCTCACAACACCATGACCCAGATGAACTAGAGCTATCTCTGGATCTACATTTGAATCAAGAATGGATGAGAACAGACAAAACAGGAAACATGAAAAGATCAGACAACGGAGTGAAAGAGTAACTCCACACCCAAGTATACCCATGCCCGTCTGTTTTCTTTATCCCGCTTTTGTCACGAAACACACTGAGAGAGATGGAGCCACAAGGGATGACCATTGTGACAGTTAGCGGTGCCCCAAGTCTCCGCTGAACTCCACTCCTCCCTTGTTAGTGAACCACCAGTGGGTGAAGCCCTACAGATGCCCACTCCTGGTTGGTACATCTCACATGACGGATGGAGCTGCTGTCCCTCTCATTGATATTCTGCAAGGCTAGAGTCCCTGACTCTTAACGGCTATTTGTTGCCGCAGTCTCCTCCTGCTTCTGGGGCACAAAGAGGCTCAGTGTCGGGCAGAAGAGGCTGAATGGAGCTCCCAAGCGGCCGGGCCTCACAGTCAGACAGCCACAGCTCACATTCCCTCCTTCAAATGGCCTGCGGAGCCCATGGGGGCCTCAGGGCCGGTCAGAGAGACCCTGGCATACTGAGAGGCAGCGAGGGAGGGATGAATGGACGGGGAGGTATTGTTCTTTTTCCCAGCGCCTCCTGACATCTCCTAACTTTTGCTTTACTGAGTTATATTACAAAATATCAATTATATTGGCTTTATCTTCATCCTTACTTGCTTATTATTGCTTTCTTTCACTTTAATGGCTCTGTCCAGCGCTGCCTCTGAGGTACACACAAATTACAATGGGAGTCTCAACCCTTCACTAACCACTGGTCTCGACACATAGAGACACACAATCAAATGTATTAGTTTCTCTGTGATTTATAAAAAAGGGAAAATAATATCAACCTCCACCGTTCTTCATTATATAGTTATACTTCACAGTAAAGACGGGACACTGGTTGGGGTTGTCGTGGCCACTCGCTTCCACACAAACACACAATCACATACTGCATGATTCATTGAGAGTCACTTCCCTCTGGCACGGCTACAACAGTTTAAGTCTCCTCTGAAATCCAAAGTAAAGCACATTGTTGTCTGCTGGATGCCACTGGCACAGAAAAACGAAAGCAGAAACAAAATGTCACACTCAAAGAAGATCCATGGCATCAAATGATGAACAGAAATGGTGGAGGGAGATTTCCACATTTGGCGCTGAAAGGGAAAATGTCTTTTTTTTTTTCAAATCTCCACACTCTTTGAGAAGCTCCCCTTTCCTTTGCACCCCTCTCTTTCCTTTACTATTTGTCCTATGGTGTCAAAGTCAAGCTCTGCGGGTCGTACCACTTACAGAGCAGAGGGGTGCGCCTCGGATTAAGAGCAGAGGATCGGAGACGTGAGGAGAGTTTGCTCCTCTTTTTCAACTCTCTCTTTGTCTCTCTCTTCAGTCAGCTGAATGACGTCAGAACATTGAATGACAGTGAGAGAGGACAGACAGGGTAAGGTTGGACCGGGACATAGAGTCTGAGGGGTTGATTTATTCCAGTCTGCTGTTGGAGGGAATGGGTTTTCAGAGAGAGCTCGGTGCCAGCGCTCACGTACTTCGCCTCACTGGCCGCTGGTGGTGTGCTCTCCCATGTTCTTCACTAGAAGATGGCTGAAGTCCGCCAGTTCCGCCAGTTCCCCCATCCCCCGGGGCCCGTGCATATCTGGCCTGATGATGCCCGGGCGCTGGGGGTGGTAGGGCGCTCCGTTGTTGCTGTTGTAGTTGAGCGCCTCGTGACTCCAGCGAGGCTCCCCATAGTCCATGTGGGGAGTGGGAGCGGACACCACCCTCCGTCGGTCGGGGGAGTCCTGCGGCGTGGCGGGGTAGATGTAGTCTCCCGCCGAGTTCCTCAGGGCGTTCCCGCTGGGACGACTGCCACCGGGCTCCCCTCTCTGGGTGGCTAAGATCAGGTAGCGTTGGCGCTCTGTGTGCGGGGGAAGCATGACCTCCCCCTGGTCCTCTATCCGGACCATCCCTCCGCCGCCTCCGTGCAGGAACTTGGAGCTCAGGTAGATGACAGAGTTGTTGTGGCAGGGAGTCCCCACGGCGGTGAGGAAGGTCTGGCTCTGGTCCCAGTCGGTGTCCGGGAGGCGCATGGTTCTCTTCTGCTGCAGCGGCGTCTGCTCGGGGGTGGGCAGCAGGCCGGGGTCCATCTCTCCTTTGGACCAGCCGTTGGGCATGATGAAGGGGTTGTCGGCCTGCGAGCGCCGCCTCTCGCCGCCGCTGGTTCTCGTCACGCTCATCACCGACCCGCTGCGGCCCTGCCCCAGCATGCTCTGCTCTTTGTCACCTTTGCGTCGGGCGCCGTTGGCTCCGGAGCCCCGAGAGTGGCGGTGGCGGTGACTCATGATCCAGCAGACGGTGAGCCCGGAGAGGATGGCTCCAGTGGTGAAGGCTGACACAGCAGACACCACCAGTAGGTTCACAGACACCAGGCCGTCAGGCTCGTCCATAAAACTCTCCTGCAGCAGCATTCCTGCGAACAGAGATACAATCACAACATCGGTTAACTGCTGCAATAGCATCAGTGTTTCCTGTATTAAACATGTGGGAGTTAACAACGGCGAGGCATAATGACCTATTTTCTCTCTCCCCTCTGTGGGTGGGAATGGTCATATGCTCTCAAGCCAAGGTAGCTCTGGTTAATTGCCTTCATTACGTAAAGTGGATGGTGATTTTAATAGCTTTAATAACTGTCTTCCTGACTGAGTACGGCTCTCAACCCTTACATGTTTCACAACATTAGCTTTATGGGAAGAGATGCCAAGTCTGGCATTAATGGTGAGTAATCATTTCAAGTTTTTGCATTACATCCAATGAATATCACTTCCCATTTATGGTTGTGTTGTACTGCTTGTGAATTACAAGTATTTTGATTAAAAACAGTACTTCATGTGATTACAGTAACAGTTATAATCCTTCAAGCCTGTATAAAACACTCCTAGATACATCATTACATTACATTAATCTGACGCTTTTATCTAAAGCGACTTACAATAAGTGTATTCGACCAACAAGATACAAACTTGAAGAAAACAGAATCATATAAGTACATCAGGTTTCATAGAGCTGAACTAAGCTGACACCAGAAGCTGGATTTGTCTCAGTTTAGATTCTCATAACAAGACCTGAAACATTTGAGCTTCTATAGTGAATTTATATATATATTTATATTAGGGCTGTCAAGTTAACGCGTTAATAAGGCGTTAACGCAAAAAAAAATTAACGCCACTAATTATTTTAACGCGATTAACGCATGTGTATTTTTTGTCCTCGGCCGCCCCGTAGTTTCAGAGCGCATCGAGTTTAAAATACCATCTACAAGCTGATGCTGACAGCCCCGCTTCTGCCGCCCGCTTGTGGCAGACCACACTTCCACGCTCACCGGCAGGCACCGACTGGCCATCTGTAGGACCGGGAGGGTGTGTGTATGTGTGGCCCGAGCGAGCGAGAGACCTTACGTGCATTGTTGTTGTTAGCATCTGGTGCTAGCTAGCTGCGCTAACGGATATGGAGCTGTTTAAATGAAAACAGAGGAGCGACATTTCGCCACAACTGCGCCGAGCACTTGACTTTATGCAGGAAGCCAGACAGTGGGACATTGTACGAGAAGTCAGCACACTCAGCACGGATAGTGCGCAACATGATTGCAGCGTCCAGGCAGCTCCGGTTCGAGCATATGCCTTGAGTTGCACATAGCTCCAACGATCCATCACACACACACACACACACACACACACACACACACACACACACACACACACACACACACACACACACACACACACACACACACACACACACACACACACACACACACACACACACACACACACACACACACACACACACACACCACACACACACACACACACACACACACACACACACACACACACACACACACACACACACACACACACACACACACACACACACACTGTATTGTATGAGAGGTTCCAGGTTGAATTGAGGCGAATATTTGTAATGTTCAGAGGTTGTTGTGTTTAATATTCATGAGAATATTTGTCATTGTTCAAATGATAATAAACATTAGCATAAAGCATATTTGTCCACTCATATGTTGATAAGAGTATTAAAAACTTGAAAAATATTCCTCTAAGGTACATTTAGAACAGATAAAAAATGTGCGATTAATCGCGATTAACTATGGACAATGATGCGATTAATCGCGATTAAATATTTTAATCGACTGACAGCCCTAATTTATATATATTTTTCCCTTATTGCATCTAACGTTTATGCCGAAGCCCTTTGCGAAGATGACATAAAGCATCATGTTGATAAAGGGTAAAATATCTGCAGACAAAACCATGACTTTCAGTATTTCTTATAAGAAAATAAGATGAACTCCCTCGAGAGAAGTGTTTATGAATTATTAAACATATGAATACAGCTAGACCATAGCACAAGCTGCCATGGATCAATTAGGAAAATGCCAGAAGAAAAGTAGTTCTTTGCAGCATGAGCTCCTGGGACCAACACCAACGAATACAATGAAATTGAGCCAAGGGAAGCAGATTGCAGAAAAACAGATGAAGGAGAGAGGAGGGTGTTAGAGAGAGAAAGAGAGAGAGTTGCCTAAAGCAAACTCGAACATTCGGGGTCTTACACAAACATAGTAATAGTTGTTAAATTACAGCACTAACAGAGGCAGAGGGAGGACTGTCTCCACCAGGACAGCAAAATAAATCCTTTTCTCCCGGAAAATAAATGGATGTCATTAATAGACATCGGGAGCCACTTACTCACACAGCACAGAAAGGCAGAAAGAATATGCTTACAGCTTTCTTTTTAAACAAACATACTTTTATTGTCTAACAAATTCATTTTTAATGGGAACAAATGGAGCTGGTTGTGGTGCAAATAGCCTAGCATGAGACAGCCTGGTGGTTAATTAATGCGGCCTGTGGCTTGGTGTAATAAAGTGTAACTCTACACATTGACATTAAGCCGGGGAATGGCAGCTAAAACCCTGAGAGAGACTGGTGCGCTCTACAGGAGTCGCTTTGAGGATGTTTAAGGAGCAGTTCACCAAAAAGCACTGTTAAATATTTGAACACTTACCAATATCTAGTTTAAAAGCTCTAATCTCCTTGGGGTTGGCCTTTCCTGTAGTGTGTTATATTGGTTTCTGTGCCTGTAAATGGTCTGCAAAGTCTAAAATCCCAAAGTTCCCTCCAGAGGGAGTTTCTGTCACACACACAGAAAAATAAAGACCTTGTAAACATGTAACCAAAGAGGCAAAATAAATACACACACAAACCTGAACATGTGTCCCCTTTAAGCATTTTTCTCGAAGTTTAGAAACATCTTATTAAAGATGTCAAAAGCTGCTTTGTGCTGGTTGACCATTCAAAAAGTTTTACAGTATCAGATCTTTAAAAATACAAAACAGTGTTAGCCTTTTACTTCTGAGAGGAGGTACTTAAAGGTGGGGTAGGTAAGTTTGAGAAACCGGCTCGAGATACACTTTTTGTCATATTCCATGGAATGCTCTTAACATCCCGATAGCAATGAATATTTTAAGTGCTTTGACAACAAATCCATAAAAACATTTCATCAGTGGAAGCCGTAGTACTGTAAAAAGCACGACCAATCATTTTAGCCGGCCCGGCTAAAATAACTGGATGGCCTACCTGCCTGTCAGCCTTCCATCTGTGCACAGACTTATCTCGTGCCCTCATTGGTCATGTGCGCGTTCGTGTGTGTTGGAGGAGGGGCTCTGTAAGGAAGTAGCAGATTTCTTCCGGCTGTGTATTTTCAAATTCTAGCGCACTCGAGCTGGTTTCTCCAAAATGACCTACCCCACCTTTGACTGTGTTTCGGTAAGAATTAGTTCTCCATTAAAAAAAACACATTTCTCTTGGTGCCCATGACTCATAAGTACAATGAGCTCCAACTGTGCAGAAAGATGAAAGTGCGGGGACAGAACTGAATAAAAAAACTAATGAGAGTAAATGTCTATTATGATGCTGCAATTACTGCTAACAAGCTCACAATAGCAGTTTTAACAGGTAGCAGGTAAAGTAATATTAAGCCTTTTAGCATGCTAACATTTGTTAATAATCACCATACACAAGTAGCTGATCCTGGCGGGGATGTCATTTGTTTTGGAGGTCATTAACCAAAGTATTGAACACATTAATTACGTGATGAACGTGCTTAATAACCTTTTTAATTATCTTTTTTCTGGCATGGTTTTAGCAAATGATAACTTGCCATTAATACAGCATCTTCTCTAATTAAGTTTTTTTTTTATCTGATGCTTCCTTTTGTTATATTATTATAGGTATTATAGCTTGTCTGTAAAAATACAAGTAGGAGCTAAAACTGGACCCAAAAGGAAAGTAATGTAGACTAAATAATGACCTGATTTAAGGGAGAGGAGCCTTGTCTGTGTTTTTATTCTGTTATTTCCAGACAGTTGGTTCATTGCCAGACTGTTGGCTTTAAAGTAAAAATGTACTGTGAAGTCTCCGAGGAACAAATGACCAGTTAAAACTAAACCATTAATCCATCCATTGTCACTTAAAATCTCCTCTGACAGCGTATACAATAGGTCCTAAATACTATCGATGGCTGTCCATCCTCTCAACAAGTTTGCAGTTCATTGACTGAAAGCTGGCATTGATCAAGTCAATCAATGTCCTTTCAGCACTAATTAGTCCTTTAACACCAATCCAATGAGCTCCGTGATACACGTGGACAGCAGCCTTAGTTACAGCCTGATAATTATGTGACGTGCACACAGTTCAGTACGGTTCGCCTCAGACAAATCCTCCTGAAGAACCGCAGATCACGTTTCATCAGCTGGACTGTGTTTGCTCTTTGAAGCGTATTGGCTTTTAATTCTTTAGTTTGCTTGATGGCACAACCTGTTCTTCTCTCATTTCCTTTTGACTACTTTTGATTTCTTTGCTCCTCTACCTTCATTAGCTCATCACCGCTTCTGAATGTTAATTGGAATAGTACATGATGATCTAATATAATTTGAAACTACATAAGGAATGCCCAATTAATAAAATGTAATCATCGCAATATTGAAATCGTAGGAGGCACACTATCTGGTACAGGCAAAATATCTGTAAATATATTTTTGAATTACGCGTGACACACTCCCCTATCCCCCCCCCTGCCTGAAACGCCTTCATTGGAATCATTTTTTTTTTACTTCTGAACACTTTTGTATCTATTGGCTAGCACTCCAACACATTGTACGTAGGGATGCACGATAATTATCGGTCCGATATTAGGAATTATGACGTCATCCCGATAAACCCGATACCAGTATTAATAGCCCCGATAATATACAATATATTTTTTGGGTAAAAAAAAAGAAAAAAATACTGCGGTGTGGGTGGATTGGGATGAGGGGCGCTTGTTTTTCACTCGGCTCCTCCCGTTTTGCCAGTACTGTGGTATTAGTGGTTTAGGAAGAGGGGAAGGAAGAGG